GCGCCCGCTGCCCCGGCTGCTCGGCCCGCCCGCCGCCGCCGCCGCCGCCGCCGCTCCGGCTGCCAGCACCGCCCGGCTCGGTGAGGAGGGCGGGAGGAGGAGGGAGAGGCGAGGGCGGGAGGAGGGGGCTACAGACAGACAGCTCCTCCCGGCGGCGCGGAGCCGAGCCCGATTCGCCCCTCTCGGCTCGAACCAGGAAGCTCTTCCCTTCCGATCCCCCCCCCCCCCGCCTCCGCCAGCCGCCCAGCCCCGCCGCCCCCCGCCCCGCGCACACGCCCTCGGCTGCGCCCCGGCCTCGCTCTCGCGATTGCAAAGGTCTGGTTTTCAGGGTGCTTTTAATATGCCAGAGACGGCCTTCGGCGGTGCAGACGGAGCCACAGGTGTGCGGCACCGCATCTGCGGGCCTCCGGGAACAGCTGCGCGGGGGAGGGAGTGCGGGGCGGGCGCGGAGGACCCGCCCGAGCTGCTGGGGGCGTTCAGGGCCCTCTGGACCCGGCCCAACGACCGCCCCCCTCCTGCCTCTCGTGCCGCAGCCTCCGTTTGTCCATGCGCCGTGCACACTCCCTGAATAGAGGAGTTAAATTAAGCACTTTTCCATCTCCAAGGCCTGCAAGCCGTTTTCTTCAGGCTGTACCCTCTTCCTCAATATCTAACCCCAGACAAAGGTTACCCATCTCCCAGACTCCTCGGCAACGGCTTCTCCGTAAAGCCTTTCCTACCACCCTCCCCATTCACATCATTGAATCAGCCTCCCTGAGGGCTGACCAGGAGCCCCACTGCCAGGCCGATGGAGTGCAGCAGAATGAGACAAGGCCCTAACCCAACTAATGGCTGACCGGCTGCACCCTCTGCAGCAGCTTCTCCTCACACAGCAGCCTGGCCCTGGGGCCACCAGGTCACCCCCATGGTCTTGCCTACCAGTGGTTGCCTGGAGGGCCGGACCACTGGCACTAAGGTCCCCCACAGACCCCAGGAGAGGCTGGGAGACAGGAGGGGAATAGGATGTCCTGCCTCCCAGGGTACAGTGTACCAGAACCCCAGCACCCCTGACCCAGATGTTCCTCTGGGGACAGGTGGGCAGGAAGCCAGTGCATAGCTTAATAAACAGGAAAGGAGAAAAGAGAGAAGACGAAGGAAGCAGGAGTCCCAGCAAGCCCCCACAGCCCTCGACAGGTGCCCCAAATCTCCAGGCAGAATAAAATGCTAACTTCCTCTGCCATTCACTTTCTGCCTGCAACATTCTTAGCCGCAGTATCTTTTAGAAGACCCATCTTCTTTACTTTCAAGTTGCCACCCAGAGGGAGGGTGTGCTAGGGGTGGTAAAGCCCCCACTAAGCAGGTTGAGGCCTGAGGCCCTTACCGTCACAGGCCACCTAGAGGCCAGTCACCCAGACCAGGACAGGAGGCCAGAGATGCCTTGGCCTTGAAATGGAGGTGGGGTTGTAAGTTCACAAAAGAGAAGCATCTTAGTATTCCAGGGACGCTAGGCCGTAATTTTCCCATTATACAGGTGGGAAGTTAGGGCTTACAGAAATAAAATGATATCTCATTTATTTAAAGTATTTTAGCTACAGCAGAACACTATCTGGAGGCCAGGTTCCCGCACACCTTCTCTAGAGCTCACTCTCCTACATTCGTCCATTCAACCTGGCCTCTGGGCTCGAGCGGTGGATTAAATCCTTGCTGGTGACCAGAATTTGCAGGTCTCCGTTCCCATGACGCTTGCATTCTCTTCCTCGGCGTCGTTAAGTCCTAGGTTCCACATACTGGGAGGTCCCCAGGGGCCACTCAGGGCAGGGAAGCTCCAGGGCTGGGGACAAGACCACGTGCGTATCGGGGGAGGGGCACTGGTTCGCGATTGGCCAAACAGATCTCTGCTCCCAAGCAGACTTCTCTGGTACAAAGCGCCGCAGTCGCTGGGCCTTGGGCCTCCGCAAACGCTGCGCCGGCGCTGCAGAAACCCCTCCTCCCTCCCCAGGAGAGGGCTTTCTGGGCCGGGGCGGGGGGAGGAGGACTCCCGGCCTCATACCCTCTGCAAAGCACTGGAGCCGCGAAGCCCGCCCCGGAGCCCAAGCCCTGTGGCCGCCTGGTCCACAGAAAGTAAAACGCATCCTCTAGGGAGACCGTGAGCCCCTTGGCTCCGCAGCCCCGAACCTCGAGGGCTCTGGAGCCCTAGGCGCGCTGGAGGCGCCGCCTTTTGTCCCGTCCCCGAGAAGCCACCGAGAAAGGGAAGAGAGGGCCAGAGGAGGAGAGGGAGGAGTGGAAGAGGTGAAGCGACCAGCATAGCATCCCCAAGTGCCTAGGCGCGGCTGCGGGGAGCCGGCCCAGGCAGAGCCTGGGGGCGACGTTGGCGCTGGTGACATTGACCGTAGCTTTGTCAGGGACGCACTTCCAGACTGCTCGGGACGTGCACAAAGCTCTCTCGCCGTCCTGATATTCCACCACGCCTTATGGGTGGCTGGGAGAAAAAGGCCATCCCCATTTCACAGGTGGAGAAGCTGAGGTTCAAAGGGCGAAGTGCCTTCCTTGGCTTGGAAAGCAGTGTTTCCCGGTACTGACCCCAGCTTCTGGACCCGCAGCCCTGAGACCTCCGGCAAGGGCTCAGAAGCCCGGATCCCAGGTGAAGTCAACCACCAGGTTAGGAGGTGGTGAGGGAAGAATAAGAAGGGGCAGGGAAAAGAAGATGACTCTCTTGATGTCTCCCTCCCTTGCTCCCCACCCCCTCACCTCACACACCATCATTGTAGACCTCCCCCTTTCAGGGCGCCGGATTCAGGACCACGGAGAGTTCCCGAGCTGCGGGAACACCAGGCGGAAGGCGATGGGGAATGGGAGCAGCAGGAGACCCAGTATTGCGTCCCAGCAGCCCCGGGCTGGCCCCAGCCCCCACTCCTCCAGGAAGCCCTCCCAGATTTGTCTGGATGGAGCTCTGCTTCCTCCCTCTCGCTTTATTCCTTTCATAGTATTTAAGGGGAGAAGGGTTAATAAAAAATGATAGTAAAATTCAAAAACGAACATTTATTGAATGCTCACTGACTACCAGCATTAACTGATGTAATTCTCACAATGAATCTATCGCCCACCCTGGCCTGGGGTGGGGCCAGCGTGCTGAACCAGGACTCCAGCACCAGGGGTCTGGGGCCCTGAGCAGTGCTCAGACTCCGAGTTCCCCGCTAAGCTGACAGCTCGCTGGCCCTCGGGTGCTCCAACTTCCGTTCTCCGGCATCTGGCCCCGACCCTCACACATACATCCCCAAGGTGTGCTGTCTATCCGTCCATCTTCCTCCAGTTCCCTGGCGACCTCTAGCTTAAGGGAGAAGAGCTATAGGGCCCACGGCCTGGCATTCCCTCGCCCTAATGCGCCTCCACTTCCGAGGGTAAAAACCTCCAAGTCTAGGAAGCCAGAGACTGGGGTTCAAACCTCCGCTCTGCCTCCAACTTGCTCTGTGAAGAGAGCACACTGGCGTCGTGCTGTGGGACTCGGGAGCGTCCCTGAAGATGTCGGTGCTTGGAGATAGCAGTTTCTAGTTCTATCTGCCCGATCCCGCTAAATCTTTAACCAAACCTTTGCCCTAGAAAGCACAGAGGGAGCACACAGGAAAGGTTTCTTTCAGCTTTAACCTGTGTCACCACAGGCGTTTCACAGAACCTCTCCCAGAGCCTGGTACACAGTAGGTGCTCTATAATGACTGATGAGTGCGTGAAAAAATGAATAGACGAATGCGGAAAGGAGCTCCCCTCCTTTTCACTAAGCAGAGAATGGGGATCCCTGGGTTAACTTCACCCTAGAGGTCCCCTCGCATTTTAAGGGTCCATATGGCACCTTGGGCCAACTTACTTTCTCCTTCTCAGAACCTTGCTCTTCCTTTCTGCAGAAGAGGAGCGGGGGACTGGATCTCGAAGGACCCTCTGGAGTCTCACGGGCTATGCTGGCCAACCCCAACCAAATCGCACAACCTCTCCGACCCTCCGGGGTGATGGAGTGGGGGAGGGGCCTTCGGGAGCCCTCTCTAGCCTGGGGGCAGCGGCTCCAGCGCTGCCCTCGGGCGGCTCCACGCCCAACTGCCCCGAGGGCCCCGCCCCCCCCCCCCCCCCCCCCCCCGGTCCGGTCCGCGCGCGCCCCGAGGGTACCTGGCCATTGTCCCGGCCGAGCGGCAGGTCGCGGGGCGCGGGGCATCGGATACGCAGCGCGGGCGGTCGCTCTTCGCGCTCGCCCGGCGAGCTGACTGCCGAGCCCGAGAGCTCGCTCACGTCGCTGGCCGTGTCCTCGCTGCCGCCGGGCCCCGGCAGGCCGACGGCGTCGGGCCGGCCGGCGCTGCGAGGCGTGCGCGCCGAGCCGCGGCGGCCCACGCTGTACGCGTCGAAGTCG